ATATAGATAATTAAAGATGAAATATACAAACTATGCCTTGTGTCTTTCGTCATCTTGCATTTCTACATCCAGATTTGCGTAACCTCCCCTCCCAGGCCAACTACTGAAAAACCTGAGCTTCTCTCATTTTTCGGCAGGAGAACACCACAGTCATGTGTGCACATGGTTCACACAGAGACACTGCATGAATTCATTCAGCCTGCCAATTCAAATTTTACATGAATCCTCCCTCAATTGGTACTATCAGCAAAACTGCATTGCTTGCAGGAGATAAGGAGATAGCGACACTCATCACAAGTGTGTTAGGCTCAGAATTAATTATGGTATTGTGCTCTATTCTCTCGCGTGCAAGATAGCACCAGTAGTCTGCAATAAAAGCATCTTTTACGCCTATGCCATACCATTGCCAGTCTCATGAACGTGTCTATTACAAGGGTTAAGGATAGGGTTAAGGTTAGGGTTAGGTAACACACATATCTTTGCTAACTGCTTAAATTTGAGCCAGTGTTTTTATGCAAGCCACTCCACCCTTGGTTACATTTAAAGACTCCTAATACTGATGAAGGCCATATTTGTAATATACGTCAAGATGCATGATAGCCATTTAAAGCGCACTAGGTGGACAGGCAAGATAACTAAGCCTAACAAATTTGTTATATCACATAGAGTACAACCAGCTCTATATGCCGACCTGTAGGTACACCCTGCTTCTCAGTTTCCTGCTGCTGGCCAGTTCCACACCCTTGTTGCTGAGCCATTATAGTCATTGATATGTCCTCCAATGCATTGCAGATTAACCTAGAAAATGCACAACACAAGTTGGTAACATATACGCACGACATAATATATATATATACAGGCCCGTAGCCAGCTTTGTAATTGGGGGGTGTGTGGTTCGTTTTTTTCAATGGTTGCTAAATTTTGGCTCAGCAGACTCTATATTACTACTCCCTATTATCTACTCCTGATATATATATATATATATATATATCAAAGATCGAGTGCTCAAATGCAAAAGCAGCTATTAGAAGACAAATATATGCCTACATTATATAACTCCTATATTATCTTTAAGTAATGTCTTATAGATTGCTTATATCTGATACAAATTATTATTTTTTTAATGATTTTATGACTTTACTTGCCTACTCAGAGGATCCTGGCCCTCATCACCCAATAATCATAAACACATTTTTAGCAAGTCATGGTAATTTCATTTATCGTAAATTCTAGCTGTTCTCAGACAATTTTAAAAGGTTCGTGACAATATTTAGGGTTCACACCTAATGCCTCCCTGCTTGTAGTTGCAGCAACCGTGTTGCAGGGGTGTAAACATAGCTAGCAATGTTGCATCTGGCCCATCGTCGTACACGTATGTGTAGTAGTGACCACTCCCAGTGCCTGAATCACTCCTGCATATTGCCAACCTTCCAGATGGATAGCTATGTGCAGTTATGGAGAGCCAACCATTGAGACAATGTGGGAGGATTATTGGTAAAATTGAGAGGTGTGTGTGTGTGTGTGTGTGCGTACGTGCGTGCGCGTATGCGTGTGATTGTGTACTGTGTAAGTGTGTATTACTGTATATGAACGAGAGAGAGAGAGAGGGGGGGGGGTAATAGAAAGAATAGAGAGCATGCAAGAATAGGTGGAAGGAGTGGGAGCAAGAATGGGTGCAAGATATAAGAACATCTCAGATATGTAGAGTCACAATTTATCATGTTTCTGACAAAGTGCACCTGTATAATAGACAGATGTACATATCCAAGGATACTAAACAAAACACGACCCATCAGCAGCAGTAGTCATCAGTAGGCGTTGTTTCAACTGGCTGCTACCTCTATCCATATCTCTAATAGTTTCATCACCTCTCCTGTTCTGTTCTACAATGAGAAAATATAGGAGGTAAGAATAGTGAAGCCAAGTAATTAATGAACTCATTAGAACATTGGGCTACTTGTTAGGGGGGCTACATTGGGCATGTTGGGCTACTTAGGAATTGGGAATTTTGGAAAAGATTCACTGATGCCAAAAAAGACTACAAATGTTAAAAGTTTTATGCGTGTTCCAGGGTTTAATTGTGTTAAGCCGAATGTCAACACTAACAATGTCAATCAAATTTCCAACATGGTTGTTTCCCGTCACTTCATTGTGCTGTCACCAAATAGACAATCAACTATTGAGCCAGAGCTCACACAGTGATATTTATACTGGCAAGCAGTTGTTGGCACTGTTATTCCTGATTAAATGCAACTGATCAGCCATTTGAATTTCATAGTGCTCAAAAACAGAATAAGTCAGTAATTTTTCGTAGGCTATACGTCTATGGTTGTGTGTGTGTGTGTGTGTGTGTGTGTGTGTGTGTGTGTGTGTGTGTGTGTGTGTGTGTGTGTGTGTGTGTGTGCCGTCCAAGCGTCGAATCACAAGGAAATCAGGAGACAGTACACTGTATAGATAATAAGATCATCGATAATAACTAGAAAGGAGCAGTTGTCGCCAACTACATGTATCCCCCGTGATCTCAGTATCGAATAGAATATCTCTGTAAGGAGTAGAAGCAGGTAAAGTTAAATAAGTCACAAAGACAAAGGTTTGCTTAGACAAAACTGGTGTGCTCCAATGCAGGTATATGGAATCTGGTTACTCCTAGTGAGAGCCGAAGAGGAAATGGTAAGCTCGACGGTGAAGGTCAAACTAAGGTCAAGCAGTGGTGGTTTGCGGTAAATGCGACAGACCTTCTCCCACGATGTGTAGCATCACCAAAGTTTGTCGCGCGCGTAAGGTCAATCTAGGAGGCTTCGAGTTAAGAGGCCGAAGAGAACTATGATGCAAGGTCAAGGTACAAGGTGAATAAAATTCAAAAGTAACTGGTGGCAGTTTTACCCGATCCTCGGACTATCTTCAAAATGGCATAAGGTGCGTATACGGTAAAGCGAAGACAGCCAAGTGCTTTTTCTGTGTGGGGCGAGCACTCGTTGCCATGGTAACAACATTTTTGTGGAAATATTGAACGAACCTGTAACTTGTGCTGTTTTTACCCGATGTCATGGAATTTGGCACACAGGGGCCGATATAACAGTCCATATATATATTATATATATGTAATATATATATATTTGATGAAAATCATAAGTTAAATAGCAAATATTTAATTACAAAATCTTTTTTTTTTTTAAATATTTTTTTACAATATTTTTTTTTTTATTTTAAATTTAAAATTCTTAATGTCAAATATTAATTTCATGACAATCGGTAAAAGTTCAGAGTTAAATCAGGTTCTAGAATATTTCGACAAAAAAGTTGTTAGCCCAATGGCGAACGGATTGACTCCGCCGCACACCCAAAACGATAGGTAAACCGTGTCTTCGCTTTACGATAACCGCACCTTCTTCGAATTTGAAGATGATCGCGAAAGAACTGCAGCCGGTACGAGTCAGTTCACATAGGAACATCTCTACGGCGGCGGTGGCGCGACGATTGCCAAACTCATAGTATCCCACGAACTTCGTTCGGAGGATTACAATTCGCAGTCGAGCTACAGTCTAGCGCATGCGCGGAACTTACCAACGAATCCTCTGTGTCAGGTCATTGTGTGACAAAATATTTCGTATTTCGAGCCGCCGCGCGGCGCTAAGTAGACTATACGCAATATGCATCTTAGTGTCGTTGCAATGCCCAGTCTTCGGCGTGTGAGCGTACGCGTGCCTGGCTGCGGGTGGCACGTACAATGCGTGCGTGCGTGCGTGTGCACCGTACACGTGGTGTGCGTGCGGGCGTGCGGGCGTGCGCAACGGTAGCACGCGCCGTGCGCGCGTGCATGTGTGTGAAGCTTATACCACATGCGTGCGTGTACCGTACACAGAATACATTGTAAATATACGTACTGACCGAAATGTGCAACGTACGCGTGCGGGGCGTGCGTATGCACGTGTGCGTGCGCGTGCATGTTCACTTCAGCGCGGCGTGCGTGTGCACGTACAGTTGAGTACGTGTGCACGTACTGTGCTTGCGTGCGTGTGTGGAAGTAACACATCGCGTGCCGTGTGCACGTACACGTGCGTGTGTGTGCACGTACAAGTGCGTGCGTGCGTGCGTGTGCGACGTACAGTCGTGCTCGTGTGCAGCGACAGTGCTGTGCGTGGCGGGCGGCGGCGCGTGGGGGCGTGCGGGCAGCGTGCGCACCGTACACGCCGTGCTGCGTGCGTGCATGTGCACGGTATCCGCGCGGGCTGCTATGCCACGTGTGCGTGCCGTTACACGTAGTACAGTTGCGTAACGTGTGGCACGTACAGGATGCTTGCGTGCGTGTGTGTTGTGAACTTATACACATGCGTGGCCGCGTGCTGTTACACGTAACACAGATACATTACATATACGTACTCGAACGCGAGAGCGCACGCGCAC